GGAAATTTGGGAGTCTTTCATATTTAAAATTTGCCCAAGTCCATCCATCACCCTCCTGTCTAACCTGTAGGCGTCGGACTAATGGCACGGTGAGTCGGTGACATCCAGAGTGACTCTTATGCGCATGACCAATCTTTGTTTACCTCCTGGAGGGCTTTCATCCAATTGCACAAAAGAGCCGATACTGTTGGCTATGCCACGAGCTGCTCTAGTTGTCATATAGCTAAGCGGTAAGTCATGAATCTGAACCCAGAAATCGGCGTGATCAAGAACAACCTCTAACGGTTTGTCGATACGCTGCAGCCGTCTGACAACCACTAAGTTCTGCTCAAAGGACCACGGTCCTTCATCCACAACTCTGTTCAGATCTCCCTCATGATAGAACTGCAAAAGGAATTTGGAGTCCGCAATTTCATCAATCGAGACTCCTTTCACAGGTCTCCATACCATAGCCATAGTTTGGGAAAAGGAAATAGCACGAACAGGTTTATCAGAAACCACTCTGGCCACTGCTGCTAAATTATAGCCTTCTGTAACACCACTCTCAGTCTCAATCGGATCAGCCGCAATCACGAGCCCTCTGTTTTCTTCCTCAGCAATGGACAACATCTTGACATTATTTGATATCATATCCATTTCAATACAAATCAAAATTACCCCACTCGATCAAAGGAGAAAAGCAACGAAGTGGAAACCAAACACAAACCAGCAGCCCTGTACACACTCAAATCGAATGGGGAAAGCAGCGAAAGTGGAAGCCAAAACGCAAGCCAGAAGCCCTATTCGCAGGTACCGAAGCATAGAAAACGAAACCCAGACAAAACGGAAGCAAAAAACCACAGCAAACAAACTCGGCCAAATCGAGCCGGACTAAAACACGGAACAAAACGTCCGGAAAAGCAGAGAACTTTTGATGAAATAACCAAAAATAAATAAAGCTAACCACAGACAAAATCGTCAGGAAACCGAAGGTAATCACTGAGCAGTCTCCCTGATATCGCCTTGTGCAGCAGACGTCGAAGTACCCCAAGCGCCGCCATGGATATCGCTAGCGCCGCCATAATAATTGGAAAGAGTTACGTTAACCCATCCAGAGTATTCTTACAAGATGATATCCACCCTATTAAGCATCCATTGATCACAAGCAAGCTAAAATAGAGTACATGGTCCAATATAGCTCTACTTTTAGGCCTTGTTTGGTTGGAGGGTTTCGGAGGGGAGAGGAGGGAAGTGAGTGATTTGTGTGTGTTTGGTTGGAGGAAATAGGGGGGAAGGGGAGGAAAGTGGAAGGCTTCCAAAATCCTCCACTTCCTCTCATTCTAAACCCCCAAATTGGGGTGTTTCGGAGGAAACATGTTGATAACCACAAACTATCTATCTCCTATGTGAATGGACAAAACGTTATAATATAAAAAAGGTAAAAAATAAAAAAAATAAAAATTAAAATATTAAAATATTAAAAGATTAAAAAAATTAGAAAAAAGTAAAAAAAAAAAAACAATTATGACTCATGACCTTAGGAGTAATATTTACAATAGTTAGAGATGTATCTATTTTTTAAGTAAGCTATCAAATAAAAGTAAATTGAGAAAATATTTTCATTAATCCTTTCCTCCTATATCCTCCAAAACACAAATTTTTATCAAAATCCTTCCTTCCCCTTCCCTTTCCTTCCCTCCTTGATCCTCCCCTTCCCTCCCCTCCCCTCCTTTGAACCAAACAAGGCCTTAGGAAATGTTCTCATATACATGTCACACAAAAATGTTTCATATGCATATCACACAAAAATGTTTCAGAAAATGTACACAAATAATCTTATTTGTTTGTGTAGTTTTTTAAGAAATGTTTTCATAAACATGTCACAAAAAAATGTTTGAGAATATGTACACAAATAATCTTATTTATAACGCTAACTACACATAAAAAGTCTCGCATTGTCTATAATTGTGAATCCTCGTTATCCTACAATATAGTGACGAATGAAAGAATTAGTAGTACCCCTACGGCATAAGGGACAGTTTGTCCTCTTGGGAAAATTCCAATTGATCAAAGTCTATGAGAATATAGTAAAAGTGTGTGTAGTGTACTAGTGTACGCAAGACTCCACGGGAGTGTAGAAAGTAAATACGAGTGAACATTGATTTTACAAAACTGTGAAGAAGGTATAGTTAGTTCTTATAAGTACATAATTCTAATTAAGTAAAAGTTAAAGAAAGAAATTAAGTAAATTACTACACATACTTTGTTGATAGAATAAGAGACACGTTTTCTTTACTTTACGTCTCCATACCAAAATAACATGCCATATAAAGACGTTTATACTCATATAATAATACACTTGGCATGTGTTTGTTTGTGCTGAAATGTGAGAGGAAGAAAGGTGGAACCGTGGAAAGGGTGTATATGGACTGATTAGTATAGGGGTGAAGTTATGCATGGACCGGGTCGGGCCTCAAGCCGGGCCTGACCGGGCTTTTTTGGGGATAGTTGAGGCCCGGAACCGGACCGGTTATCCACTGGGTCCGGGCCGGTTTGCCACCGGTTCCGGGCCGGTTCCTTTTTTTTTTTTTGCTTTTCTAATTAACCCCCCTACCCCCCCCCCCCCAAACAGCCAGCCCAACCCGGGAAAAACAAAAAAAAAAATGAAAAAACAAAACAAAATGTCCCGAACCGGGCCCGGCCGGGCCGGTTCCTGTTTTGCATGACCCGGGCCCGCCCTATGTAACCCTCGGGTCGGGCCTACCCGGACCGGTCTCTGACCGGGCCGGTTCAACACAGTACCGGGCCAGGCCGGTTCACGGGCCGGGCGGCCCGGTTTCAGTCCATGCCTAGGTGAAGTAGCAAAGAAAAAATAAGAACAGTAGGTAATTACTTTACATAATTACTGTTGTCATTAGTCATTTGGAGTGTTTGTCTGTTTACTTTGATTAGAACAACTTGCGTTGATTTGGTTTGAGAAATGGTCGTAGATAGGACCGAAAATAAGTTGATGTAACTAAATAGAACCTACTTCTTTTTCACTATGATATGGACATTGCTAGAATGCTAATAATGAAAAGGTTGACACGTGATTTTAATATAATGACCTTTTTATAACATTAATATTATTTTAATATATCAACACAATTTATATAATTTCAATTTCATTCCCAGTGTCATTGTTACAATGTCATGATTTATAATGACATCGTAATTATGTGATATTTTGACATTTTATACATATCAGTGATGTTTATCATATTAAACATCCAAATTTTGTACTTTTCCTTTTTTAGCTTTCTGTTTTTACATCCAATGACATTAATTTTAAAACAATGACATCATTTCATTGTCATATAATAATGACATTGTATATTATATTGTCATTATACAATGTTATTACAATATTACAGAGTAATTTTTTATGGCATTGTCATTATTCAATGTTATTACAATGTCAATTTTTTATGACATTGTCATTATACGATGGCATTGACATTGTCAGGATAGTCATTGACATTGTGATTATTGCAATGTCATTTTATGCTATCCATAGTGATATATTCATTGTTATAATTTAACGTTGCGACATTTTTACTTGTGACATGCATTATATGATAATGTAATTTCATTTTAAAAATCAATGTCATTATAGCACAATGTAATGTAATGTCATTGTCTAAAAATTAATGTCATTATTTAAAAATCAATGTCAGTGATAAAAATCAATGTCTTTACATGACAATGTAAAATATGTCATTGTTTAAAACTCAATGTCATTATACGATAATGTAATATAATTTCTTTGTTTTGAAATCAATTTTATTATATGATAAAGTCAAGTAATGTCAATGCTAAAATAATTGCTCTCAATATAAAATAATATTGTAGCAATTTGTGCACATGCCATCATTTACATTGTTGTTATGAGAAAAAACAAAGTTGAAAGCTAAAATATAATAACAAACATAAAATCGTATTAACTCAATGGTCTGATGTTATTGTCCACTTCCACTTCATTTCCCAAATTTCCCCTTCCCAATCTCAAATAATTGCCCTTTCCACTTCCCAACTCTCAATTCTCAGTCCAACATATTACATATCTGCCTTTGATCAGCCCCTCCCCTTTCCCCAATATCTATTACGGAGTACTTCCGTATTTTATTAGCAATTGGAGATTTTCCAAATAAATAATAAAGCTGGGAAATCGGCAAAGAACATCAAAAAACAACAACAGAACAACGCAGTGCACAAAGAACGACGCACAAAAGCTACAAACTCACAAAATAAGAACGCACAGAAGAAACTCGCTAACAAGGAGGAAGAGAGGAAGATAGGAGGAGGAGGAGGAGGAGGAGGAGGAGGAGGAGGGAGAAAAGAAGGAGGCTACCCGCCCTGCCGTCATCAACCGCTGCGCTGCGATGATGACTGGAACTTGTGATAACTCCGGCCGACGGTAAGCTGCGGCGATCGGCAGTGAACGAACTTGACCTGCGACAGGCTAGAACAATTACTCCGTTGACAAATTTGGTGCTCATCTTCAGCTTCGGAAGATCGAATAGATCGATGTCTGCCAGTTTGAAAAAAGAAAATAACTGGGAGTTGGAATCAGTAAGGGTGTTTTTGTCTCTCCGTGCAAAATTAGCCCTATTAAAGAGTTTAAAAGCTTCAAGTCCTATTTACCTTCTCACCTTATTTTTTAGTCCTATTTAGGTCTATTTCCCATTTGGTTTTGGGCCCTTTTGGCATATGTAATATGTTTCAGTCACTTCAATCGATTTTAAGAGCCAAACTTCTAAAACAAAAAACGAATGACTTATGCTTAGATCTAATGTTTTTTTTTTGCTCAACCAAATTTATCATGTACTCTCAAACATCACTATTACACCATATCTTTTTCACTATAATTCTTTCTAACATATTTCTATCTCTTCTCACTGTTTCGCCTAAACCAAACCAAACAATTTAGAATTGCATAAGCGAAGAGCATGTTAAACTGCCACCATGTATAAATGAGTCACTATACAGCTAAACAAATATAGCACAAATGGATATACATAAGCAGACATGAGACCATATTAAGAACCGGTGTTGCACTGTTTACATATGTTCAGAGACAATTGTATTACAGAAAGCCAGAAAGGGCATGAAAATAAATCTGTGTTTTGACAGTAAATAAACATGATAACAAATACATAAGGTCAAACATGTTTGGAGTTAACTATAGCATGTCATCTTTGCCGTTTAACTCCGATAGGGAAAGATACTCTCTGAGAAGTCTCTTGCGAAACATCTGTACGATCTTGGGAGAGATTAGGGTTTTGGTTAGGTGTGGGGTTAGGATCGGAACCTTCATCACCGTCCTCGGTTTCTTCCACCGGTTGAGTGGTTCGCTTCTTAGGGATCGCGAGTTGGTAGTTGGGGCTGATAAGAGTGTCTTGTTCAGGAGGGAGCGGGATTGCATTTCTTGAAATTGATTTTGGCAGAGGAATCTTGTTCCTGCTTCGAGCCAACTCTAACAGGACCTGCTTGGCAAGCACAATTCTTTTAACACATCACATATGCACCATAAACAAAGACTTCAAACAATAACAATAACATAACAGATCAGAAGGCACTGTCCTTTTCTTCCTTCCCTGTGTCCGTTGTTATCTCATCCATTTGTAACTTCCTAGTCCCAAATAAGATAAGATTCCCTTTTTAAAAAAGATTTTGGCTCCTCCATAACAAAGAATTTTATTTCATCTAATGAATATTTTTCTCAAATTAATGAGAATATTGCTTTTTTTATGGAATGAGAATATCGTTAAAACTATTTTAAAAAAATGCTTTATAAAAATAAGTCATGTATGGGATATACCAGTTGTACCTTACCAAAAATAAAAAGTGATGGAGCCATGGAGGGGTAAAGCAAAAGAGTATATTTTTTACCCAAAACAATGCATATTGTATAAGAGGTTTGAAATGCAAGTACCAAGTAACAAAAATCATCCTCACTTGATAATAATACAAATATGCCTCACATGTCATCATACTTCCCTGAACACCAGCATTGGTGTTGTTATCATCTAGATTAAACCATACTTCCCAAAGAAACATTATATGGTTTTTATGGCCAAAACATCAAGTCAATTACTTTAAAAGCTATACATCATTAACATGTTATCCCATACATTACACTCCGTACTTCGTATAAGAAGTTACTAACATTCAAAAGAAACATTATCTGTACAAGCAACTGCTTCAGAAACAAGATAGATGAGGCATCAATCATTGTTTCAACTTCCAATCAACAAAGCTATCACTTTTCATCATTCTGTTAACACTTAGCATGTGCAATGCATTCTATAATTCTATGATCTATTTCTATGATGCAGAAAATGTTCATATTATATATACAAATACCCATCCAACATTTATACCTAGTCCCAAAAGAGTGGTTTCATAAATGTACAACTTTTAAGTATAGGTCAAGAACAAGTATACAACTACGGGAAACTATCAATCCAACCTATATTCTTATTAGTTTATTCAACTAAAATTTACAATTGCTTGTTTGTAACACCTTTTCTAGGAAATGATACATTAAACTCAAAGAAATTCAGCTTCTTTTGTTCAAACAGGATTCCTTTTTTGGGAAAGAGGGAGATTAAACATAGCTTAGAAGTAGTGGATAATTCACCTCTCGAGGAGGAGGAGGTGAGAAGCTAAAATTGACTTTAGATTGAATAGCAAGCTTGATATCGTCAGAGTCAATCACAGCCTTGGCGGCATGCTCCGAGTACACCTGTGCATCTGTCAGAACGTCAACCGAGTGCATATACATAAGCTCCAAGAACTGGTGCACCACACGAGGTTCATACTCATCAACACCCATTGATTTCAGCAGGGTCTTCACCACCTTGGCATCCCTAGGCAAGTCCTCTTCGTCCATTTTCCCCTACGCTCTATATCCCTCTACCCTTCTGCTTGGCAACAAAATGCAATCCCTAGAAGGATATAACCACTGTACACAATAGAGTTTCAATTTCAACAAACTTCAAAAATATTAGACTAAAAAAGAACTGAAAATTTGTTTGAAATAAAAGGGAGAACGTGTACACGATCTAAAATCTTGTTTTGAAAATGGGCTTTCATTGAGGGGGTTGATTCACACCATGATAATAAAAAATTGAGACCCTCTAATAAATATAAACTACTTTGCTTGAGTTTCATAAGTTACTAGGTCAAGATAGGGAATTATTATCCAAAAAAGGCAATGAGAAAACGGCCAATTTAAACCCCAAATTAGCAGTAGTATAGGTCTATGGACATGTTCCTCCCATCAAATTTATGCTCCCATCAATGAGCTGACCTACCCAACAAATTTTTCCCCAAAGGAAGAAGAAAGAAGAATTGGCTTAACAAAAGTCAGGGGATCAATTTCACCAAATAAACTCTACCCCACCAATCAGGTTATTCAGGTCCAATCTTTGGTGAGACCTAATAATAGCAAAACATATGGATGGGAGCCAAATCCCTTCCTTATGAGGGGAAATCCAAGCTTATGGAGTAAGAAAATAAGATGAGAAAATATGATTATCTTATATGGATAATAAGATAGTCAATATCTCCTTTTTCTACAATAGAGACAAGCAGGGAAGGATCTAGCATACAATCTAAAATAACAGTTAGCCAGCAAAATGGAGGTTTTTCCAGCTTTATAAACCCTCACACTAACGAATCAGATTGTAGGTTTTACTCGTTTAATTCACAACAACAATCTAGGGATCCATCTAGTGATATTCCACAAGTTATAATTCAGAACTCACAAATCAAAAAACAGCATGAATTGTATCAAACTAAAGGTCTAAATCTGAATGCAAACAAGGGACAACATTCATAACAGGTAAATTCTAGAAACTAAGGGAGCAATATTTCTGAATTCTCATAACCACAAAACCCCTCAAATTCTACAATAATGGAAAAAAGCTGAACTAAATAAAATATAACAAACATGTAACTGAAACAAAAATACATACCTGAAAATCGGAAGACCAGCGACTCAGCGAGCAGGCAAGGCCGTAGGGCGCAGCTGCGCGGGCCTGGACTGCGAAGAGAAATAAAGAATTGCAAAGTCGTTTCGGCCGATTCCGAGCTTTCGGTCGAAGTGGCGAACGCCTGCCGGCGTGAGTGGGCAGCAGGTCTTTACTTGTCTGCTTCACTGCGACTCTGCTAATCGACGATTGTTCATTAATGGATTTACTGCTTCTTTCAGCTTTGGCAGCTTTTTTAAATTGTCCGCTTTTTTTGACGAACTTTGAGAATAATAAAATAAAAATCGTGTGATTGAGGTTTGAATTGTGAGAAAAATGATTGATTAAAAGAGAAATTGATAAAGTTTTTTGGGACGTCCCAAAAAGGAAAGTTGACAAAATTTTAAAAGACGAAGAAAGTAGTACATTTTGAGAAATAATTTTGATGTTATAATATAATAGAGTCATTGAGGATGATTGTGAAGTTATAATTTTTTTAATAATTAATGATTAAATTGTCGTAATATTTGTTTTTTAAAATAGACATGGAAACATTTAAATGGGACGTCCTAAATAAAAAGTGAGAACCTTAAAATATGACGGAAGGAATATGTCTTTAGAGAAGAGAGAATTCCCTAAATAGGAGTAAAAACCTTTTGAAATTCCAAAATAGGAGTATCATTTTTTTATTCCCTAAATAGAAGTAAATTTTTGCCAAGTTTGGAATTATAAGGCTTTAACCATGGCATTTTTTTCTAAACATGGCAGATTACTCCTATTTAGGGAATAAAAATCATGATACTCCTATTTTGGAATTTCAAAACGTTTGTACTCCTATTTAGGGCAATTTCTGTTTAGAGAATTGTTGTTTATTAGTTATTCTAGGCTAAAGGGTCAAATAGGCCCTTGAACTAACTTAAAGTATTTAATTAGCCCCTTATATAGGAGGTTCTGCCCGGTCGTCGTCAATTGAGGCGGTTCCCGATGGAATTTTTTGATAAATTTTTTTTAACATCTTCTTCATTAAGTCTAGTTTACTCATACCAAATTTCAGCTAAAAATTCAACCGGGAAGGCAATCAAATGATTTTTTGAAGATAACTGCATAGTTAAACAGCGCAATACATTTCGGAAAATCATTTGAATGTCTTTCCGATTTGATTTTTAACTTAAATTTGATATGGTTAAACTATACTTAATAAAGAATATGCTCAAAAAAATTCATCAAAAAATTCCACCGGGAACCTCTCCAATTGGCGATGGCCGGGTTGAACCTCTTATATAAGGGGCTAATTGAACATTTTAAGTTAGTTCAAGGGTCTATTTTACCCTTTAGCCCTTATTCTAAAAGCAAGAGATTGTTATTAACAGTATTTCGTGTGTCTATGTGTGTATTTGGCGGGAATAATTTTTCTTTTTAAATGAGAATAGTTTAAAATAACGTCTCTGATTTAGATAATGCATAGTTCACGATGACAGGAAAATTATATTTATATTTATTTATAAAAACGGCATCACATTTATTAATTCATGATATGTGCATTTGTGTTTCAAATAATGCATGATCTTCAAACTAACAACCAAATTCATCATAGCTTCTCTCATTAGATTGCATTTGATCTTAATTCAATTCAAGGGTCCAAATGGTGCTCATTATAACTCGTGACAATGCACAGTACATATTTATGTCTCGAAATCTCGAATAATGCACAATTTCTCAAATCTAACAAAATCAAATCCATTATCATTTCTCCTATTAGATCACAATATCATTTTATCTTAATTATACACATATATACACCCTCCTAAACATTAAAGTTTTGAAACTCTACCATTTCATTTTTAACTTGCTGCTTTTGGAGATTTAATATTGTATGTAATTACGTATAGTTATTTTCAACAGCTTAATAGTTCATATGTTTTTTTATTCTAAACTTCTAAAACAATTTTATATATACTACCTCCATAATGTTGAGATTTTCCTACTTTAAAAGTGGATGAGATTATGAATAGTGAAAGAGTATATAAATTATTGAAGGCATGATGGGAAGATAATGAAATAGTATGATGGAACGAAGGATAAATTGGGAAAAAAGGTGTAATAGTGTATTATTTTTGAAGTTATTGGGAGTATGATGAAAAGATTTAGAAACGAGAAAATTACTTAGGTACAGTTGACAAAGGAAAGTGGGAAGATCTTTACGTTATGGAAATAGTACTATATTGTATAGTGTATACTTATATAGTACTCCCTCCGTCCCAATTTGAAGGTACCACAAAGATTAAGGAGGAGTATGAAAACCCCAAAACTACCCTTTCTTTTCCTTTTCCTGTGTACCTCTTCTCAACTAGGCCTCCCCAGACCCCAATTGAAAATATTTGATACTCCGTATATCCGCCAAATTGCTCTATTGAACAAAGCAAAAAGAAGGAACCAGCCAAATTACGAAGGGATTACAATTTCATCCATTGAGGCTTCTAAATCTGCACAGTAAACTAATTCGACTGATTGCTGGTGTTTACGCTTCACGTGTTTTTTCAAGCTCTTCTCCTCGCATCCTTACATGTCAGTGTATCCCCCATATCAGGCGTGGACTCTGGCCGGTTCGGGCCCGGACCAGCGGTTCAGGAATGGGGGGCCCGGAACCGGCTCGGGTACTCCCCGGGTCGGGCCGGGACTTAGTTATTTTTTTTCCTTTTCCTAGTTAACCCCCAACCCCCCCCCCAACCCCAAACCACCCCAAATGGCCCAAAATACCCAGCCCAACCGGAAAACAAAAAAAAATATAAAAAAAAAATTGAAAAAAAAAAAATAAAACGAACCGGAAACGGGCCCGAACCGGCCGGACCGGTTCGTGATTTAGGGGGCCCGAGCCCGGATCGGAACCCAAACGGGTCAGGCCTACCCAGACCGGTCACTGACCGGGCCACCGGGCCAGAACAGTGCCAGTTCGGGCCGGTTCCGGGTCGGACCACCCGGCCCGAGTCCACCCCTACCCCATATCAGACACAAGAGAATTAGGTCGCTGTAGTTTAGTTCTTTCATTCACAAACCCACAAAAAGTGACAATTGTCATTTTCGCCGTCACCGCATCCCACGCAAAAATATCTGAGAAGGAGACCAGCGATTTAGAGGAGGCAGGGAGATGCAAACAGGAGACCAACGATTTTGAGAAGGTGTATGAAAAAATGGGGAGAAGGGTATGGTGTAAAGGTAAATTAGATGTAATAAGAAGGTTAAAATTGAACTTGCACATCACTTTTTTTGCTAAAAAGGGAAATGGTACTATCATTTTGGGACACCCCAAAAGGAAACAAGGTACCATCAAATTGGGACGGAAGGAGTACTATACTACTGCTACGTATTATTGATAATTCACAGCAGGGGGAAGCAAAGTAAATAAGAAAGATGTTAGAAAGAAATAAGATGCTACTTATTACTTCGTAGTATTTTTATTCTAAATTTCTAATTAAAATTGCAGTAACATTAAAAAATATTTGAATAAGTAGCCAAATCAAATATAAATACTTAAAGTTCGAATTTTATGTAAATACAATTAAATGTTGTGTAAATTGATCAAATTCCCACTAAAATAAAAACATTTGAACTTATTAGATTTGTTTACAACTCTATGCACACCCAATGCGGTGATAAGAGTTTGTTTCTTAACCCATGCCAAAAATAAGGCTTACCAGACGGGACACTTAGTCTGAATCATAAATTACCTTAGTATACGTATATCAAGTACAATTGAATAGGATGAAAATACAAGGTAGACCTCTAGAGTTTTCTGGAAATGAGCTCACAACTGATTAAATCATCCATGGAGGACGCAGAGCTTCCAATACCTACCACAGGAACAACACTGAAGATGGGTTCACTCGAGATCCTATTTCCCTGCCATGTTCGGGCCAAGTCACTAAATACAGACGCAAATATCTGAAAGACGGTTCCGTGTGAGATGTTTAGATTTGTTGCAAAGTATATTCTGAAACTCTGCAAAAGGAAAGGAATGGTATGAGAATATGAGCATATACAAAAGAATCAAATACGTGAGCCCATTGGCTGCACTTTCTTTGCTTATTAGTCTGCTAGTCAAACTTTTAACAAACAATATATTAAGCTCTGTTTGGTGGTAGGAAGTAATCAACAGAATAAGTTGACTCGCTTATTTCGCTTAAACGATGATACTAAATGCTTCTGCTTTCAGACAGATTCAGACAAATAATAATTACCAAACTGGCTCTTGTCTAAATGTATATAGGCTAGTAAACAAATAGTGCAAAAAAATGATGGGTACTTTAAGGACATACTAAAGAGGCAAGTGTGTATAATTTAGGGATAGAGGGAGTACTTTTCTGATGCTCAAAAGGGGTTAAAAGGTAAATGTCACTTCTAACCTCATCTTTCAAATATTACATCCCTTGCTTTACTTCGTACGTAGTATTAAAAACTACATTACACACAATCATATAAATGATTTAATCATTTCCACTACATTCTTAGCAAATTCAGTTCACATAGACATTTCAGCAAAGTTTACCTCACTAGATGTGCTCTAAATATAGTGAATTGTGAGAGGTTCATAGTCAAAGAGGTGTTCCAGTCAAATAAAGAACAACTAACCAACATGTCATCCCAAGAAAGAGCATCTTCCAAGAGAATTTTATCAAGGCGATAGATGCAAAACTGTGCAACTCTCAACAATTGATCTTCATTTAAAAGGACTGTAAAGCCCGTATCACAGCCGATTTTAGGTATGGACTTCAAACAGATAGTTTGAGCAAGTTCTTCTGTAACAGACAGAACAGCAGCACACATTTCTCCTCCAATGCTACATTTCTGAAGGCATTTATCATGCCATGTTTCATACTGAAACCCCCAGCAATCTTGCATAATGGGTGGATCTTTCGAATGTTCCTTAGGTGAAGCTTGTGTACGTTCTGCTGCCAGGTAAAGCATCGGCTTCACTTCTACCAGAGCTCTACACAAGGAATTGCCATCAGCAGAAGATATGAAATGAAAATAAACAATTGAATCGTTTCTGAATTCAATAAAACATTAGCGAGCAATTGCCTCATCGCACACATATCTGACTTGCATAGTAGATTAGGGTAACTTAGGGTTTGTATTGTATTGTTTTCCGATTTTTATTTATGCTTACTGTTTTCCCTTTTGAAATAATCTAAAGCACAAAAGATGTTAGAGAAGTCGTTTTGTATCAATTTTAGTTATAATTAGTTTTATATATATATTTATAAAATACAAAAGATATTATGGGGGTGTTTGGATCTGATTCTCAAAACTGATTCTGCTCCTTCAGGGAGAAGAAGTAGAAGCCGGAGTGTTTGGGTGAAATTCCAGAAGCACTTTTGGTGCTCTAATTTACTCTCAGAATCAGTTTTTTTAGAAACTGGGAGGTACCAGCTTCTGAAAACTGATTCTGATTCTGCTTCTACTTTAAAAAAGAAGCTGAAGCAGAATCAGTTCCAAACACCCCCTATGTAGGCCTGTTTTCATGTGTACAACATTGCCAGTGCTTTTTTGCATATGTAGTGTAATTGTGTGAACAGGTTTATATACATTGACTGGCCTACAAACTTAATGCCAAAAAAACCAACTAGTTGGGCTTAGGGTACAAATGGTGATTTTGATGACAGTATATAGTTAGAAATAATGACAAAAATAATACTACCGGCTTTTCATTAGATACAAGTAGAACTGAGTTTTAATTTGGCGATAATAAGGCCAATTATATGTGAGCACACAAAAATACACTTCATATAAATACAATACCAAAATCCTAATATTGTCACTTTTACCCGCATTTCTTCTTTCGTTCATATCTTGGTCTTCCTTCTTAGATGTGCTGCCGCCACGCTGCCTATGTCATCTCTGCCATTCGTCCCTCATCGCTCCCTATGTCCTCCGATCTGGTCGTGTGTCATCTCTCGAGTTTTTCCCTCTGAAGGGTACTTTCTAATCTTATTTCCCAAAGCAGGGTACTTTTAAACTTATTTCCCAAACAGAAGCATGTTTTCCATGTCATCAACCTTGAAGTGTCATGCCACCAACACCCGGTTAATTGCATTTACATGTCACCTACTCTCCACGTCACAAGTCCATGTCAATTACATGTTCTTTAAAATACTAGGTGTTAAAATAGTAGGAATCGAACCCAAACACTCCTACTCTAATAATAGGTGTTTCATCCACAAAAAGGTACTTAGTTGTTTTAATATATACTTATTCACTTTTCCTTTTAATATGACATTGATAAGTTCCCTATATTTTCAATATAATAATAATAATAAAATAATGACCATTTACCTATAAGAGAGAGTATTCATAATTTCATATTATCACTACGAGGTTCCATTAATATATATATATATATATATATATAATATTTAGTAACAGTCAAATCAGGTCGGTCTTAAGGATATCCCGTTTGGCCAGCTTTATTTTTGACTGAATATGATGTTTATGATTCAAATTATTTTATTCATTATATCAACTATTAGTTCCAATTGTTAGATCATCAAAGTATTTAAATTTTCCGAGCTTAAATGTGATTTTTATAATAAATTAATATTAACCGTTAGATAAGTTAAAAAATTTAAATCATACGGAGTATTATAAATTTATTCTAAGTTTGGAAAATTTATAAATCATTTTAAATATTTTGAATTTTCTGAGCTTAAATATTCGAAGCTTGAAAATTTTATTATGAAAATCATATTACACCGAGATACGTGTAATATATTTTCATTTACCCAGTGCCGCAAAGGCTCCCACCTACGGTGGGGTAAGGGGGGGTCGGATGTACGTAGTCTTACCCCTGTACTAAAGCACAGAGAGACTGTTTCCGGATGACTCATAGTGAAAATCGCGTCCAAAATTGCATGGACTGACTGCTGCTTCATAACAAAGAAGCGCAGACAGTTTAGCGAGCCATTTTGCTTTATTCCATCATAATCTCAAGCCAAAAAATAATGAATCTTTGGCTTCATTGCAAATGATGGAAAGATACGTGTAATATATATATATATATATATATATATATATATATAGAAGTTACAGTTATCTAACGGTTTATTGTAATTTATTATAAAAATCATATTTAAGCTCGAAATATTTAAATATTTTTATGATCTAACAATTGGGAATAATAGTTAATACTACTTTATAGAAAATTTGAATCATAAACATCATTTTCGGTAAAAAATAAAGTTGGTTCCGTCAGACCATCCTGTTTTGAGTGTTACTATATATATTATTGGAACCTCTTAGTGGATAATATGAATACTCTATTTTATTGGGTAAATAATTTTTTTGTATTATTATATTGAAAATACAGTGAACTTATTGACGTCATATTAAGGGAAAAGGGAATAAGTATATATTAGAACAACAAAGTAACAACCAAGTGCCTTGGTGGAGTGGAAGAAGCACCTATTATTGGAGGAGTGCCTGGGTTCGACTCCTACTAGCTTCTAATTTTCTAATATTTTGAAGAACATGTAAATGTGATGACATAGAATTGTGACATGGCGAGTAAGTGGCGTGGAAATAGAATTAACTCAGTGTTTCTGACACGGCACCACCATCTTGATGACAAGGAAAAAAATGCCCATATTTGGGAAATAAGTTTAAAAGTACCCTACTTTCGGAAATAAGATTAGAATGTACCCCTCAAGGAAAAAACTCCTCATTTCTCCTCTACTTCTTCTCCTCTTATTCTACCCAACGGATCACAGTCCTCAAATAATCAAATTGCGAAATCATTAATTTCTAAACGCAGCGACGTTGACAGCGACAAATCCCAGGAGGTGCGACAGCGTCTAGGTATACAAGGTCTGTGGATAGGTCGGGGCTAGGGTTGCATGTTGGTGGGTAGGCGGCGGCGAGGGCTGCAGGGTTAAGATGGATTGCGTGGGTGCAGGGGTTCAGGGAAGTTGCAGTGGGTGGGGTGGGGCTGGGGTTTTGGGCAGTGGCGGGGGAGGGATAGTGGCAGGAGAGGGGTGCGGGCAGGGGTTAGGACAGTGGCTAGGGAAGAAGGTTGGGGAATGGGGGGAAGTGGGGGCAGTGGTGTGGGATCAGGGGAAGCGTGGGAGCAGGGGTTGGACAGTAGCTAGGGCAGAGGGTGGGGTGGGGGTAATGGTGGGAGAGCGGGGGGGATGGAGGCAGTGGGGCGAAGTCTAGGGTTCCGCACCAATGAATGCACTACTGATGGTTTGGGGAGACAGAGCAAGGTTGTGTAGTGGTAACCGCAATGATGGGTGTATTGTTGAGGAAGGAGCCGGGTGTAACTGTGATGGCTGCAGGTTAGGTCACTTGGGCAGTAGCAGAGGATGGGTTAGGGCAGTGGCGGGGGATGGGTGAGGTCAGTGATTGAGGCTGTTTGGGCAGTGATGACTGATGAGGTTTTGGGGTAAAGGAGGGGTTGGTGGGGTGTCGAGGTCACCTATGGCAGCAAGTGACTGGGGTGGTGGGTCACTAATGAAGGCTGGGGAAGCCGGTCACTGGGCGCTGAAGCAGTGACTAGGGCATCAGGGTGAGGATCACTGGGCAGGAGTGCGGTAGGTTGCTGGGGCGCCAGGGTCAGGATGGTGTCATTTGGTATTGGCAGGGGTAATTTAGTATTCCCTATCCCTCAAAACTTTGCCAAGTTTGTGCAGAGGAGAGAGAAATAATAGGAAAGACAAATTCATTGATTAAAAGGGAAAATGTTAAAGTTTTGGGACAACAAAAAGAGGAAGGATGGCAAAGTTATAAGGGACGGGGGCAGTACACATTTTTTGAAATATAACTATAAATATAGTACTTCTAAATGTCCAACTGTGTTGTAAACTTTGTCAATCCAATGTTTTCAGTTGAATTCACATTTTTGTTTTGTTCTCATAAACAAAAACAAAACAAAAGGTCCGAAAGACTACATAGTCAATTAACTCAAGTGATTATATATACAGAAAGTTGAAAAGGAAAAGAAAACTTGAAAACAATATATTGCCAAATAACATCTTAGCAAACACAACTTTCCTTTCGGCATCAAAAGCAGGGATAGAGATCAGAAATTGTTTAGGGAAATGAGTTGAGGCCAAGCTAACCTTTTTGGAAGATTGGGAACAAGGACATAAAGGAAAATGGGGAGCAAGGCTTCCGAAATTATTGAAGAAACCAGCTGCCCCAACTTCATTTCTCTAAGAATTCTTATCATCTCATTCTCAATATCAGTTCTGTCTGATTCTTCAATGCAAGCTGAGCAGTAGATGGTGAAATATATGGCTGATGTTGATATTGAGCAGTTGAAGTTTCTTGCTATTGCTTCACTGTTTTCTAGTGCTTGCTGAAGCTCTACAGTAGGCCCTCCTTTACAAAGTAACATTGTTGGCGGATCAAGCCCTAATTGACCGGCCATGTAGAGTATATATGTGTGCAAAGTTGCCTGCAGCAAGCCAATATGTTCAATCAATGAACAGAAAAATATGCAACCCCAATCCCACGTCCAAAAAAAAAAGATTGGTAAGGGTATGTATGAGAGGGGAGTTTCAAAGTGCAGAGGGAGGGAATATTTTCATTTTAAGAAATGTGTGCTTCGACATGATAATTTCTTTGAAATAAAAGATACATCCTCTGGTCCACCAACTTATTCAAATCCAGGAAGTGGTTATTCTGTTTGAACTTTTATAGAGAAGATTTATTTGAACGAAATATATTCTAGTTGTCACCTTCTATTATGCTTAGTAAGAGACTACTTTTAAAAATTAAACATAAACACGACAAACATAAGGGGTAAGCGATGGAAAAAACAATAAGAGGCCGTTTGGCAACACAGTTTTTCGGCTTATCAAGCTTATCAGCCAACTTTTTCACCAAACACGTAACTTTTGCTTTCGCGTGCTGAATTGTGTAATAAGCAGAAAAAGTAAGGTTGGAGTTACTTTTCTGGCTGTATTGGCTGAAGTTATAGCTATTTTTACGTATATATTTTTCTTTATTTTATTAATAAAATATATTTTAAAAATAATTTTTTCTTGAATCAGCAGAATCAGCCAATGCAGTCACTTCAGCCAAAACTTCATAAATTTCAGCGGAATCAACCAAATCAGCCGATTTTTGTGCTACCAAACGGGCTTTAAATGCTTCATAGCAAACACCAATCTCTAAATTGTGGAATTATTATAGTGAAGGATCTCACCATAATAATGAATGACCATGATGACCCACACATACCATACGACTCCATAATAGAGTCATATATGACTCCTTAAAATTATGTGCGACTTCCTCCATATGTGACTTCTTATAATGGAGTCACATATAAGATGACAAATTAATATAACACTCAATATCCAGGTCATTTATTAATTACAACAAAATCATATACAATATGAATTCTCTCAACATAATATATCAAAATAACCCTTGCCAAACAAACCATAAGTGCATAAAACACTTCTTTAATCAGCCACTAAAAAATGACCAAGCACCAAAGTTAGCTTCAAATGTGTAATTCAAAAGTAGGGAAAGAAGTGAGCAAATGCTTGCAGGTGAAAGGTTCACATGAAATTCATAGTACCACACTACCAAAGGTGTAAAGGGTAAACCTCAAAGACGGTGGCTATGGGGGGAATAATATAAGATAGATTAACCAAAAACAGTGGAGACTAAATGCCAAGGTCTATTAACCTGACTGTATGGACCAATACAACTAGGCGCCCAGCAAGATATGCTTTGTACATGCAAAACCTGTTTGCTATGATCTCTTGCCACCAGGACTTCCATATATGCTCCCCCTAAACCAACTTGCAGCAAAGGAAGTTCGACAGTGGACCTCGAAGGTACACCGTAACGACACTTTTCTTGAGTAATGAATCTCACATATGTTTCGTTTGCTGAACAAAACTCATTCATATCAGCAATGTACAGATGGACGTAAAGTACATTCTCCCATGAAGAACCATGTTCAGCTAGTTGTGTTTCAATTTTCATCAGAACAACCTCCAGATCCACCAGCAAATCTGGCAATCACAGCACTGAAAATACTAAAATTAAAATATTCAAACGAGTATGTAATCACAAAACCAGAAAGATAAGAAAAACAAAGAGGAAGTGGTGCTTTAGCCGGGCCTAACTCATCCCAAAAAATACTCAAGAGGTGAAATTTACTTCACTCTAATATACTAGTCATACCCAAGCAAGTTGAATAACTAAAGAGGTGGACGAATAGGGACAATCCAACCCCAAACGAGTGAAGCCCGGACCAAACCCTCATCTCCCTCAGGACTCTGATACCAAGTTATATTGGGCCAACTTATCCAAGGTAGTCAGACTTCAGATCCTACGTAGGATCATATATTCGTATAATGAAACACATGTAGTAAAACATCATATCATAAAACGGATCGTAAGATGTGTGTGTGTGTTCGTACATAGCACGCACACATATATAGATTTTGTTTGTGTGTATATACACTCCCTCTGTCCTTTATAACTTTGCCAAAGTTGATTAGTATGTAGGATAATAAAGTAAAAATGTGCAGTTGAGGTTTGTGCTTGAGGTATGTGCAAAGGAGAGAAAATTAATAGGAACCACAAATTCTTTATTTAAAATGGAAAGTGTCAAAATTAGTGGGACAACCAAAAAAGGAAAGATGGCAAAGTTAGGGATGGAGGGAGTATACTATAATACTATACTACATAATGTGTGTGTTGTATGAATGACATGTTTAATATATATAATATATAATTTAATCATGAATTCGATATAAATCGTTAAGGTAATCTCAAATGACATGTTTAAAAGTTAAAATATTACACAACTGCATGGAGAGACCTCCCAGATTTGTGACTTTTATGACCTAATCAACTTTCTACGTAAACACATAAACATAATTGTGGTTTACAACTTCCACTCGTTTCCAACTTTTCTGACTTTCAACTGACCAATTTTTCCCATATGTTTAAAAATTTCAGAGAACATGCTGACAAAGCGGAGATCACAACTCCAATGTGTCCAAACTTTGTGATACTTTCACCTTCATACAATATGAACAGCAGCAGATACAAGGTAATCAAGACTGGGCAATCCTACGATCCAGATCGCGGTTTTGACTACCATGAACTTAAACCAAAAAATCCTGATGACGTAAGGTTTACGTCACACTTACATACTAAACTCAAACCCATCAAACAACTGATGTGGATAGTTAACAAGCCTTTAAAATGTTTTTTCTAACAAAGAAAATATGTAGGTCTGTTTGTATCTTACTTGCTGAAGTTTCAGATTGGTGCAGGCAGCACGAAATACAATATATATCACCCTTTTGGGAATTAGAATATTTGAGATTCTCCATCACAGCACCAGATTTGGTTGTGACGTCAATGAGTTCACTAGTAGCTACACAATTTGGTTGGAGTTCATCTGCTATTTCATACACTGTGTTGATATCTCCGGTACAAAGACTAGTGTCTCCAATAGACTCACTTGAAGATACTGAATTTGTCTTCTTTTCCAAGTGAAATGAAAGCGGATGAAGAACCCCAACGGGAGCTATGGAGTCTGAAGAATGCAAAATAACTTTAAATTCATCAAGCACAATTCTAGCATTCTGCAAAATGCAGATAAAGTTTATAAGAACAAAGGGAAAGGGGGGGTTAGTTTGTTAGGGCCTATCTTAAAGAAAATCTTATGAAAATCCCACTTAGTGGTAGTGTTTATGTATGTAAAATACTGTATTACTAGAGACACAGAGACATACCTTGAAGAGGGGGCAATCAAGAGTCAATGTTTCATATTCTCCACCTTCACCGCAAACATTTACTCCATAGAGCCTAAAATGTTCAAGGTAATAAAAAAAATCAACTTTTTAAAAATTCGAAGGTACTTTAAACCTTTACTCTATCTAACGATCAACATACTCTTTCAGATTGTGAAAATTGGATTCCAGGTATGCTATTTCTTTCCCCAAGTGCTTTGAGGGGTCTAACCCAATAGCTGCAACCTAACAGGTGGAAAAACAATGCTTTCCTAAACTTCGTAAATCATATATAGACCTAAGGTTGCATAAAGTAGCTAGATGAAGAACTACAAATATTGCCCATACTAAAAGATAACATTGATCTAAATATGAACATAAAACTCATGGCTTTTAAGTTCTTTTAAACGAAAACCAGCTTCTGGGTTATAACACATTTTTATCTAAAAGTAGATTTAAATAGTGGAAATTATAGAGGTTGAGATATTTCATTTTCTGAGAATCTGAGTTTACCATGTTGCAACAGGATAAAAACATTTAGAACAGTTATGAGTCACCCCTGCTTAAGAACTTTTGCAATGGACATGGGTCTACTAGGACCACCTAACCTATGCAAGTTTTATAAAGGGAAATTTCCCAATATATATGAGTAAAAACAACATGAAATTCCAACCCCCCAAGCCCTCAACCCCTAAATAGAGTAAATTACCGCCATCGAAATCTTATTGCCATATTTTGGCATTACCATGCATGCATTAATATTTAATAGCAGTAACGATTTCATAATTGACAATATTTTCCAAGCAAGGCAGTAATTACTCCTATAGAGGGGGGAATGCATAGTACCTAATCAAATTGGAGTACTAGGTAAGGCACTTTCTTCGAATTTCATATTGTTTTTACTCCTATTTAGGGCAATTTCTTCTTTATATAGTATTCACCCGGTAATAAAAGGCTAAAAGCCGTAAAAAAACATTTAAAAGGTAACATAAATTATGGGAATCAACAGTGTGCTTGTCCATTTCATTGGGGTTAAAGATTTGGGAATAAGACTATCTAATCACATTAACAAATCACCACCTTTAAGATAGAGGAAACACTTATTGGAGAAAAAAGAAGAATACGGAAACATGATATGGTATTGAATACATTGGTAACTTATAATGCGGAATGCCGGAATGAAGCGAATATAATTCTTAGACATGCACCCAGAGTGCAATAATATACGGAATATCACAAGTTCACAGTTCACACACGTAGATTGTATCAATGGGCCAAGTATGCACATCAGTTAAACTCAACAATTACCAACTACCAGAAGCAACATCTGCATTAATTGGCCCACCCACACCCCAAATCCAGACTAAAAGATCAGGTTGAAGCATCAAGTCTCCGGCAAAATTGTATATGGGTTTATCTAAAAGAGAAATGCTTCAAAGTAGAAACAATACCTAGATGATGCAAAACAGAAAAAAAGGAATTAAATGAAACAGTGGGAGAACGTGCATCTCTACCTTGACAATTATTGCAGAAATACCATTTTTTATCTGAAAAATATAACGGAAAGAAACACAAAATATCAATAAACACTGGCAACTTCAGAGTTATTATTGTGATTTACAATAAACCAAGTTACCATTTCCTGGAGAAGTATTGTTTGATCTTGCTTCCATAAATATGCCAACGAAACAAGTCCTAACCTTGAGCATACACTTTCAACTCGGAGCCTCTGGTAGTCAGATGCAATTGCACCACAACACACTGCTGAGACAGCAGGTATTTGTCTTTTTACTTCACTCAACAGGATGAACATGTCCTCAACTTCATCACCAGGAGTCAAATTGTAGCTAAGGCCATTATTCCTGTGGAAAATCCAGCATGAAAAAGGATAAGATATGCCAAACATTTCTATCTTTTTACATCACTAGCAGGCTTGGAGACTTCAGAAAGTTAGGCTATGTTTATAAATAAAAACTTAGGATATGCGCAATATAAGGCATAATAAGTGATTTTTGAATTATTTGGCTGAAATGGATTTGATCAAGCACGATTCCCTATCGGAAAATCAGAAAATTTAGAAACATTAGATGAATAACCCTTACAAAACAGGCACTAAGTAATAAAGCATGACATCACTGCAACCAACAGTGTGGTTTTAGCAAAATGAAATGATAAATTTAAAAACAAAATTGCTAGAACTTCAGGGGAGGGCTTGCCTTGTGGATCCTTTTATTCTCCTTCGGAACAATGGCTTTCCCATGCATGTTGCATAGCTGACAACTACCTGGTGCCCGACCTGCAGAAAATTTCAAAAACCATACCATCATGTCAACCACTATATATTAATGAGCATGTTCACCTATAAATAAACATATTCAAGTTGGATGAATAAACTGCGGTCAAAATTTAACTAATTGAAGGAAATGAGACGTGGTTACAATAAGTACATGCTTGATTTCTAACTTATTGTTTGTCTTATCCAATTCATCCGTCATACTTTCTACCATACACTAGCATATTTATCTTTATCTTATTTTGTATTATCATACCTTATCTTTGTTATCTTTATTTTCTTTTTACCTCCGATATCATGTAAGTATGTAACGATTCATGTTAGCCGACAAAATCTTTTGGTACCAAGGTTTGGATGTTGTTGTTGTTGAACACTAACATGTTTGATTACTTATTTTATTGAATTTACTAAATTGGCAGAAAATAAGGTGAAACTGAAGTAGCGTAAAAATTATGGGGCACTTTAAGGCCGACTTTCTAATTTCTATCCTCATTTATAGATATTCTTTCATTTAATTTAAGGCATTTTACCAATAATTATATCCTTAAGGAAAAGTGGTTCACTAAAGCATGCAATCTTTTTGTATCAATAACAAATACCATCATCAACAACTATAATGAAAATTAATTGACCCGGTGCCGCCCAATTTACTTCCACCACTGACATGCCACCATTACTAAAACCTAAATGATAGAAACTAAGCCATAAATGCTAAACATTAGGCTCTGTTTCCTAAAGAAAGATGTCAAAAAGGTTACCGCCGCCGCTACCACCACTAACCCTAAACCCTAAGATATGATGAGAGGTACCTCATTTGTGGTGTTTTCTTTCATTTTCTTTAATTGTGAAACTTTTTCACAACATTTTGGAGCAACATAACATCTTACACAGTTAAAATTTTAATAATTAGGTGTCTCAAATGTTTGAGTACTAAAAAGTAATTTGATAAGCTTGATATAGCTCATTTAATCATATGGATGATTCATTCAGACACATCCATACAATAGTTATTTTGATATTTATTGAGGTATCTATTAAATATTTAACATATTCAATATTTAAATTTAATGTATGGAGTTACTTTTCATATGAGATATCTATTAGTACTTTGTGAACTTTTCAAATGAGGTATCTATTCCATGTTTAGCTTAAATTATACATTGTGAGATGTTACGTTGGAAGTGTTAAAATAAGTGTGTGCATTTCAAAATACAACAAAAGAACCAAGAAAAAACAACTAATCCAAATGCATTGTGCTTACGTGTACGAAGTATCTAAATAAATCACTTGATAAATAAATTACAAAGATGTGTAGTCAGTTCGCACAAAAATGAGGGTAGACCTAATTTATTATTACCCTCCTCCTTATATATGTTTCACACTTTCAATCTCACGATATCCAATGTTAATGTTATTTTTTACAATTACCTACCAAATAAAATTCTAAAAAAAATAACATTTCAAAAATATGTATTAAAACAAATTGGTTCAAAAAACTCTGATATTAACAAAGAATGAAAATGTAAAGGACAATGCCCATTAATTTTGAAAGCACAAAATCAAATGGAGAAATTCAATTGGAGTGTTTTTTTTTTAGTTATGCCGATTTAACCATTCCAGGTTATCAGCAAATTCACAAATGACAATCATTTCAACTACGTTTTATCTCACAGAGCGGGTAACATGTATTTAACAGAAATAAAATTTGAAGCTCACAGTTTGATACATGTAGCTGTCGAGCTCATCCTGTACATCATCCGTAGGCATTAAATTTGCCAACGCAACTATCTGAAATTAGGCATGATATGTAGCCGAACTATCAGTACATGATACCATCAGCTTAGAAGCACGAAATGCGTATACAAGAGTTAAAAAGAGGGTGCCGGAGAGAATACCTCGTGACCATACTGTATGCATTTCATCATGGCATAGCAGCTGTCTTTTCCGCCGCTAACTAAAGCCACCACCTTCATGGCCTATCGTCTATCAGCTAGCTGCCCTGATCGATCTGAAACTGTTGGCGCGGAGAGTGTAGGGTTTATGAGCACAGTGGCTTTGATAGTTTTTTCTTTTCTGGAAGAGTCTCCCCGATTTAAAAAAAAAATATAAAATCCTTTTTTTTATCATCAAAACGGACTTCTATTCATGTCAAAAAATTCAAGATCAAGTAAAAGGAAAATAAAATTGACACCAACTGAAACTCCAACAACTACGACTGAAATCCTATGGTGAGATTTTGAGACGGTCACCCCTGAGAGAGCAACACGAATCGCTAACCGTAGTGGGCTTGACACAGCCAAACTTGTTCTCATAGATCCAACCATACCCAATGACATAAAGAGAGGCAAAAAACTCAAACAAACTGTCAACACCAACAACAAAAATGGACACAAGAAAACAAATAACAGACAGATAAAAACTACAAGAAAAGCGTTCACGAACTCTAGCACCTCGTACATCTCATGGTGGTGGTTCAGGAGGAGGTCGTACCACCGGTACCATGCTAATTGATCCTTCGTGACCTTTGGCTGCCAAAGACCATGCATAAATTTTCCCTCCCTGCATAACAAAACTCATCCCTGCTCCGTGCGACCAGAGTAAACAGATAGGCGGCGCCGATCTTCTCCAACGACGACAGCAATGCCGCATCCTCGAACATTGACCACAACGGCGATCTCCTCGAACCATGACAGCAAATCCGCCCTCCGAGGACGAAGCACAAACAATAGCGGTCATCCTTCGATTAAAATTGAAGACGGAAAAAGACTCCAAGCGGCCGAAGCCCTAGAGAGAAGTGATAGGAAGATACCACTCGGAGAGTATTCCTTGTAAAAAACGATAAAATTCTTATAAAAAGGGATATAAAAAGGGATATAAAAAGGGATATAAAAAAGGTTGTTCAGTTCGTCTAATTCTTATTACTTATTGCTTATTCTTATTTTATTCAGATCAGATCAGATTAGATCAGAAAAATTCAAATCAGATCAAATCAGAATCATTCAGACCAGATTAGAAAGATTCAGATCAGATCAGAAAGATTCAGATCAGATCAGAAAATTTCAAACATGATTTATCACTTTTATTATTATAAAATAATAACAACAACAACAATTATTATGATTATTAATATTGTGATTATTATTGAGGTGATTATTATTATTATTATTACTCCATATTATTATTATTATTATTATTATTTATTTATTTTTATTATTATGCAGAGTAATTGTAATTATAATTACAATTTTAATTATAGAACTAATTATAATTAATAATATAATTACAATTATAATTGTAGTTATAATTATAATCAGTGTAGTAGGTATAATTTTTCATAACTATAATTATAATTAAATATTTTTAGAATTATGACTATAATTATAAATTATATTTAAATTATATTTATAATTACAATTACAATTATAATAATTATTATTATAATTATAATTAAAGAAATATTCAGATCAGATCAGAAAGATTCAGATCAGATCAAAGGATTTTGATCAGATCAGAAAGATTCAGATCAGATCAGATCACAAAGATTCAGATCAGATCAGAAAGATTCGAATCAAATCAGATCAGAACTTAATAAATTCAGATCAGAAACATTCAGATCAGACGAAGAGAACAGCTTCTAAGCTTCTTTTTTAACCAAAAAGGACATTACAAGTAACTCTTTGGATCATTCAAGACACTAACGACATGTTAATATGGATCAAATATTCTCTTCACAACATGGCTGCTGCGCATGGAAGGAAATTTCATTTCAATCCAACAACATATATCGGCAACCCATTTACGCACAATTGCAATTGGGGTTGAAACTTGAAAGAAATATCTTGTAACCTCAATTTAAACTGAATTGAAAAAAAAAAGATAAAATCTCGTTTCTTTTGTTACTAAAAAAGCGAAGCCAAAAAACAGGACATATAAAAATCTTACATACGGAGTATATATTTAGCAGCAACAAAAATTTATGAAAATGAACGGCTATGGTGTGATGTTGTTAAAAATCACCATAATTAGAGATCTCCAAATCTTCAATACTATTATGCTAAAATGTGCACGGTGCACATGTGGCATGAGTGATAGTCACATAAATATTAGCAAGTAAATTATGTCTCTCCTTATTTAAATGATTTTATACACTTTTGATAAGTTTTTCCCAGCAATGTCAACATTTAGACGGTCTCCTTGACATTGTAGAGAAAAACTTACGAAATCTGTATAAAATCATTAAAATAAGGAGAAAGAGAATTTATTTACTAATATTTATGTGACTATCTCTCATGCCACGTTTGCACCGTGCACATTATACCATTGGAGATGCTCTTAACCCGAGAGCCTTGTAGCACAAGAATGGAAATATATGGAGATCTGTTACTCTTGGAAAGTTTTCCTTACAAATTCTTAAGTTAATAATTCTATTGTAGTTTTTTTCAAAATTAATGCTAAACATTAAATTATTTACATAAATATAGTTTGATTAAAAATATATACCAAACTAATGTTGCACTAATTGGGGTTAGGTTTGGCCTCTTATGCTTTGAATCGAAAGTAGTGAACCTGCCGAACCAGGAACAAATAGCTGGTCGCACACTCGCACTAAGCTTATAAAGGTGGGACCCCCAATTTTAAAAAAATCTCTCTTTTTAATAATTGATAAGTATAACTTTTTTGATTTATAATTTGTTTTTTATAAAAATATATTAAAATTAATAATTTTTTATTATCTTTCATATGAGACCAATATTGGATATAAAAATGAAAATAATTCTGAAGACACAATTCATGTATGATTTTAGGTTTAAAATTTTTCTTAAGTGGATCAAAGTTCTAAAATTAAGATTTCATGATTCTGTAGCACAACCTTAAGCTACAACTATGGGACATTTGAGTTTATTTATTTTCTAAAAGGTGTCACTAGAGAATGCGTGTGATAGTTATTTATTTTGTTGATTCAATTTGAGTTGTTTGAAAAGTTGCAAACTCAATTAATGACTTACGTTTAAAATTCGAAATACGAAGGATAGCAGCATCGGCTAATAAGGCGGAAGGCTAGGTGGGACTCACAATGTAAAAAAAGAATCTTTTCCTCTACTTTCATGTACCTATTATATTAGTATTTCCAATTTTTACAAAAAAAAAGTATCGCAATTCAAAAATTTTTATTATATTTCATACGACACCATTATTGTATATATACAAATAAGAATAAGGAAAAATTATATTCACACTAATAATCCAACCTATTGACACTCTTCTATTATTAATCCCTCATATGTCTTATTCTAAATTAATTCGAAGTACTAGACTAACCTTCCCTAAACACTATATTATCCTGAAGCCCGGATCTTAACCGGTAATATAAAATCATGTGCGCTCACGTGATTAATAATTTGTCTGTTTAGCTCAAAGAAGGTTAGACGCAACTTGAAACTTATTCGCAGGAAAGAGAACAAGCTCAACGACGAAGCTCGGACGAAGCTCGAACGAAGAGAAACATTCCAGATGAAGTGCGTCAGTGGATCATCTTCTTCGACACCGGCATCCAGCTTCATTAGAGGTAAAGTCAGGCATAATTGTCATCACAACAGAGTCCAAAGTTATAACAGTGAAGAACGGTGCAAACCTAGGAAGAAAATTTCTTGGATGCTCACTTTGGCCTGTAAGTATCCTCTGTTTGCAATTTTTATTTTATTGGTATAATTTACAAGTTAACCCATGAATAAGTTTGGATGAATTTAGGGTATTCTTAATTTGATTGATTGTAATAAGTTTGGTTTAGGGGATCAGGCGTAATTTATTGTTTCATTCAGGTATTCATAATTTGTTTCATTGAGAATGTGTTTGGTGGAGTATATATGAGTTGTAAATGCAGGGGGTCATTCCCCCCACACTATATGTCAATCCTGCTTTTTTCTTTTGAGAATCTTACCCCCAAAAGAATATGAATATAAAAATAAATAAGAAAAAAAAATAGCAAACAATAGCCATTTTATAAATCCCAAATATGGTAAGTTAAAATGAACCACTGATGCATATATTAACTACAAAACAAATTAGTGGCAATAAACTAGAGGTAATTAATAAAAATAAGTGAAAAGGAATCAGCACTTCAAAGCATTGGAGGATTGAATGATTTGAATCGGTGGTAAAATAACATATGATTGCATATGTGTGTGCAGAACCTTTTTTCAGATTTAACGGTGTCCCAATTATGAACACATTAACACTTAAATGAATCATTTAAATGCAATGAATTTTACAATAGAGGTACACTTTTGTGTGTTTCTCTCGTCTTGCCTGATCGACATGGAAAATTGCAGGATGTGCTTCTCGGGTTTGATTCCCTCGATGGTTACAAGAATGATATGACATGTTTCGGAGGGTTGGTTGGACGGGTAGCCAACAGAATCGAGGGAGCAAGATTCAGTTTGAATGGGGTCCAGTACAAAGTCCCTGCAAATGATAATGGTCGCAACACCCTCCACGGTGGTAGCATCGGATTCAGTGATGTTATATGTACAATTGAAGAGTATGTTCATAACCACCATCTCTTACTCTCCTACATGAGTCCTGACAGAGAACAAGGAATTCCGGGTGAGGTGAATGTGAGTGTTACATACATGCTACCGGGCAAAAACAAATTAGGCGTAAGGATGAAAGCCAAGGTTGTGAACAAGGCAACCCCTGTGAATTTAGCCTCACGCTCCTACTGGAACCTTACTGGCCTTACCATCTTGTCCCACACCATCCACATCTTCGGGTCTAGCATCACCCCCGTAAATGAAGATCTCATCCCCGCGGGGGCCATCGGCCATCCAACCCGTGAATCGTTCAAAAAAAGTCACTGGGACGTTCTTGGCCGAGGAAAAAGACATACTCACTGAGAAGTAGTTGGCCGAGAAGAAGATTTTGGAAGAAAAAGTGCAAAAGCTAGAGAAGAAGAAGAACCAGAAAATGACTGTCAAAATGACTGAAGTGCAGCTCATGACTTGAAAAAGTGCTAAAAGGGAAAGAAATGATGTCATGATTGTACTTGTATCTTGGATAGTGTTTTATATTCTAGGTTATTTGAAGTGAAATGTAGAAGAGTAAAGTTTGTGTGTAATTTGTAGGCAGTTTGAAATTTAATGTTTGTTTAGTATTTGAAGTGAACT